GGACGCCGTGGGTTCGCCAGCCATGGGTCCGATCTGGCGCTTTTCCAGGCCGGGGAGCTCCCGGCCCCGCTGCACCAGCTCCAGGAGCTGCGCCAGGGTCACCGAGGCCGGGGCTGACTGCGCGGGCGGGGGCGCTCGGCCTGACCAGCTCGCACTGCCCGGCGCGTCCATGTCCGACGGCGCAGCGGACCGGCGTGTGGGAGGCAAACGTTTCCGGGAAGTGTGGGCGCAACCACCTCGCAGGGGCCCTAGGCCATACCAAGCCGCCCAGGCAGGGGGAGCACTCGAGAACCACGACCGCTCTGCTCAGAAACACTTGACACACACGTGCACAACTTCACCCACCCAGAGGCTGCAGGGTAGAAGGCTTTGGGGGAAACAGGAAGGCTCGCAATAACAACGTGCATGCGGGCGGGCTGATGCAGGCCAGAAGACCCACGTGTGCGCACGTCCCTCCTTTCCTGCACACGCAGCAGTGCGCACGTCCCTCCTTTCCTGCACACGCAGCAGTGCGCACGTCCCTCCTTTCATGCACACGCAGCAGTGCGCACGTCCCTCCTTTCATGCACACGCAGCAGTGCGCACGTCCCTCCTTTCATGCACACGCAGCAGTGCGCACGTCCCTCCTTTCATGCACACGCAGCAGTGCGCACGTCCCTCCTTTCATGCACACGCAGCAGTGCGCACGTCCCTCCTTTCATGCACACGCAGCAGTGCGCACGTCCCTCCTTTCATGCACACGCAGCAGTGCGCACGTCCCTCCTTTCATGCACACGCAGCAGTGCGCACGTCCCTCCTTTCATGCACACGCAGCAGTCACTCGAGAACCACGACCGCTCTGCTCAGAAACGCTTGACACACACGTGCACAACTTCACCCACCCAGAGGCTGCAGGGTAGAAGGCTTTGGGGAACAGGAAGGCTCGCAATAACAACGTGCATGCGGGCGGGCTGATGCAGGCCAGAAGACCCACGTGTGCGCACGTCCCTCCTTTCCTGCACACGCACAGGGACACCTGCATAGTCGCAGGGCGGGCTCATCAACGTCCTGGGCTCCGCAGCACCCACGGAAAGCAGCCGCGGAGCTGTCTCCAGGAGCCTCCAGGGAACTGGGAGTAAGTGACAGCACTGCGGAGCCTGGCCCCTCCCTTCCATCAAGACCCCCTGGTGTTCCCAAAGCGGGTGAGAAAAGAGGAAGCCAGGCCAGGTGTGCTACAGCCCCTCTGGCTGCTTGGAAAGCCCGGCCAGTGGTTCTCAGGTTTCTTAGTTTGTCGGAAGCTAGCTGATCTGGCAACACCGCCTTCATCATGGAATCAAAGTTCATTACATTAACAGGACAGACTAGCACCACATGTCTCCTGATGCGATGCTCTGAGGACACTGCGGATGTAGGAATACTACATCTCTTCTGTCGTATTCCTGCCAAAAATGTTCACTCTGAACCTCATCTTGAGGAAATGAACAGACAAACCAAAGTAAGAGTCATCCTGCAAAATGACTGGCCTGGACACTTTATAAATGTTAATCTCATGGGAGAGCATTCTGGATCATGTGGGTGGGCCAATTACCAACCATCACAACGGTCCCTGGAAGAAGGAGGGAGTGTTTGAGTCAGAGAAGGAGATGCGATGATGGAAACTGAGGCAGACAGATTGAAGGTATATGCTGCCGGCTTTGAAGACAGAGGAAGGAGCCACAAACCAGGGAGAGGCTCCTGGGAGCTGCAAAAGGCAAGGAAATAAGGAATGCAGTCCTGTCACAACTTGATGTTAGCCCAGTGAAACCCATTTCAGACTTCTGACCGCCATATTGTGAGATTACAAACTTGTGTTGTTTTGCCCTAGCCAATTTGGCTGAGTGGATAGAGTGTCGGCCTGCAGACCAAAGGGTCCCGAGTTCGATTCTGGTCAAGGGCACAAGCAGGCTCCTCCCTGTCCCGGGCCCTGGTCAGGGCTCATGCAGGAGGCAACCAATCAATGTGTTTCTCCCACATCAATGTTTCTCTCTGTCTTTCTCTCTCTCTTCTACTCTCTCTAAAAATCAATGGAAACATATCCTTGGGTGAGGATTAACACACACACAAAACTAATTTGTGTTGTTTTTAAAACTTTTTTGAATGTCATAAAAAAGAAAGAAAGAAA